GATCTTTACTGTTGTCCTGAATTCTTTTTGCCTGCCTTCCCTCAGTCGTGAAAGAGAGCAGAACATGTAGAACAACAGTCAGCCCAATGAGGTGGAGCAGACAAAAATGGCATCACTGAAAAACATTACTGGACACAGTAGGGGAAATAATTACACTTGTAAGATCAGGACACATCTGCAGTTTGTAGGACAGCCATAACCTCAAAGGAGAAAGAGAAGTATACCTCTCGCCAGGACACTGGATAAATAAAGATTAAACCTTCTGTATTTCAGTTACACAGCTATGCCAAGACAGAACTCTTGCTGGCTTCAGTCATTTATGTGCTGTTGTTGGCACTAAAAGTATTTAATTTCCGCAAGAAATAATAAAAAACTTAGTGAAGTCAAAGAAAGTGTGATGTATAATATCGTTGTGGAACAGCACTGCAATACCTCAGGGCAAATCTTACATAATCTTTCAAGTCTTTTGATATGGTCCCACGTCATATTCCTATCTCTAAATTGAAAATATACATGAATTTGAAAGGTGGACTACTCATTGGAAAAGGAGTTGGTTGAATGATCACAGCCAGAGGTTTGTGATCAAGGGCTCCATATCCAGGTGGAGACCAGTGACTATCCTCTGGGAGTCCCTTTTGGGACTGGTGCTCTTCAACATCTTTATCAATGAGTTACATAGTGGGATTGAGAGCACCCTCAGCAAGTTTGCTAATGACACTAAGTAGAGTGGTGCCACTCACACAATAAAAGGAAAGGATGTCATCCAGAGGGATCTGGAGAAGCTTGAAAGTGGACCCAGATTAACTGAATGAGATTCAATAAAGGCCAAGTACAAGATGTTGCATTTGTGTCAGAGTGATCCCAGATACATGAACAGGCTAGGAGAACTCACTGAGGACAGCCCTGCCAAGGAGGACTTGGGGTTTTGGTGTACAAATGGCTTGATGGAGACCCAACAAGCACTTGCAGCCCAGGAGGCCAACAGTATCTTGGGCTACATCAAAAGAGGGATGGCCAGCAAAGAAGAGGGAGGGGATTATCCAATTCTATTCTGCCCTTGTAAGGCCCCAACGGAGTACTGCATCCAGGCCTGGAAATCTAGCACAGGAAAGACATAGGAGATGTTGGAATGGGTACAAAGGAGAGCCATGAGTTTAGTCAGAGGGCTGGAAGCTGCTCTCCTGTGAAAATAGACAGACAACTGGGCTTGTTCAGCTTTTAGAAGACAAGGCTCTGAAGAGACCTCATTTCAACCTTCCAGTACTTAAACTGAGTTTATAAACAGGAGAGAAATTACTCTTTACACAGGCACATAGTGATAGGGAAAAAAAGGAAATGATTTTAAACTACAACAGAGAAGATTTAGGTTAGATATTAGGAGGAAGTTTTTTACTCAGAGAGTGGTGAGGCACTGGAACCATGTTGCCCAGTGATTGTTCTGGATGCTCCATCTCTGGAGACCAGGTTGGATGGGGCCATGGGCAGCCTGATCTAGTCAGTAGCAACCCTGACCACAGTAGGAGGGCTGGAACTAGATGATCCTTAAGGTCTCTTCCAACTGAAATCATTCCATGATTCTAAGATCACTGAAATACATGGGCCTCCAAGTAATGGGCTCTTAAGTAGGTAGAACATAGCAGTCTCAAAGGCTGCATGAGACACCTCCTCTAGCCATAGCAACTCTCTGCGCAGAGGCATGAACAAAGGAAGGAGAATCTACATGTACTAACAGAAGGCTATGGAATCTTTTCCGAGTCCTCATGCAACTTCTGTCTTTGGAGAGAAGAAACGTCTCTATTCCCGGTATTGCAATGATGGGCAGCTGAATTTTTAAGTGAATGACTCACTACAATCATACAGAAACGTGATAATAAGGTCTCACTCCATTGTACCCTAATTTATCATATCCTTCACCTCAGGTCTTTCTACTATCGCATGCACAGCTGGTCTGAAAAGCAAGCTATTAATCAATCTCTGCTGGTCAGAGAAGGACGGGAAAAATTCTTATCCAAATGATTAAGGTTGTCATTCACATTTCACATTTCAGAATGTGTTTTATCTCAAAACACCGGTTTTCTTTCTGCATGCTTACAGGCTCTCAGTGCTCAGTGTCAGACTGCACATTCAGAGTCCATCTTGTAGTTCTCTGCAGACAGTTACTACCAAGAGTTTACAGCCTGAGGGTGATTGCAGAGGTAGTGACAGTGGTAGAAAAATTATCATGAAAAGAAGGGAAAAGTGTAAGCAGTTCAGCAAGAGATTTAAGAGGTTCAGGTTGAGATAAAAGGCAGGGCAAATGCATAAGGAACAGAGATATTTGTGTGCCATTAACACAAAATTAATGGGAGAAGTTCTGTGAAGAAATAAACTGCAAAAGGAGAAATGAAACAAGGCTAAAGGTGATAGAATCTCATGAAAGCAAAGAGATGAGAAACACCATGTATCAAAAGAAATATTTGAAACACTATCAGAAAGATAGAAAGTTAGAGTCAAACAAAACATTGGACAATTCCTAAAGGATTGGGTTGAAGTTGTCAGTCATATCAGGTGCTTTTGAAGAGATGAAAAAGATAATAAAAGTAGTTCATCAGAAACCGTAGGGAGACAAATTTGTCTGGTTGAAAGCCAGAGTGGAAGCAGAAAATGTATATAGAGTAAGCAGCTCATATTATGAGCATGTGAAGGTGAGAGGATTTCACTTAAATGGTGAGATAAGCTGCGATCAATGGGGACTCTCTGAAGATAATGCAGATACAAACGTTCCTGTATTTAGAACTTACAGCTCAAGTTCTAGAAAGTTAAGGAAGCAGCAAGGAAATCAGTTATTGAGGTGAAGATGTGGTTTCTTGGGCAGGTGGATCAGAAGCATAGATAGACACTCGATGACATAAAAAAAATGAGGATATGTGACTAGTAAGAAAAAGGAGAAAAATATAGTGAAGGGAATGTGAGTGAAGAATGTGCTCCAGAGCTCCAGCAGCCATGAGAAAGTGGTATATGGGAGAGATTCATGTAATCAGTAAGACACCTATATATATCCCATGATATAGGGACATGCTTCAAGAAGTAAATGACAACCTAATCTACAGTAATCTAAAAATATCTTAACAGCTATGAGAAATGACCAGGAAATGGCCACAAGTTGTTACCAGAGGAGGTTTAGGTTAGGCATAAGGAAGAACTTGTTCTCTCAGAGAGTGGTCAGGCACTGGAATGGCTGCCCAGGGAGGTGGTAGAGTCACTGTCTCTGGCAGTGTTCCAGAGGCCTCTAGATGAGGAGCTGCGAGATGTGGTTTAGTGCTTGTGGTAGCAATGGTAATAGGAGGACAGTTGGACTAGATGATCTCGCAGGTCATTTCCAACCTTGTGATTCCATGATTTTATATGTTGAAATATAATTGATAGAACAAGAAGGAAAATGATGGGAATATGAAAAATAATCTGCCAATTATTTACAGCTGGAATCCCAACGGATCTACCACAAAAATCCAACAATTTTTAGCAGGTATTATTAACTGCAGTATGGCTTCTAGTTGGGAAGCCTAAAACTCCGGAGACCAGCTGTGTCTTATGCCTACCTCTGATTCATTATTTCATGAACTGATTTTCCTTTCTATTTGTTGTTTCAAAATTAGGAAAAACAAACAAATAAACAAACACCCTTAAACTGAATTAGTTATTTTATGCCATTGACATAGACAACACTGTTTAGACTTAAGGGAAGAGTTTATTTAGATAACAGTGTGAATTAGAATGCTTCTTGCAGATTGAAAATAGACAGTGTTGAGCTGATTATCATTTCAGAGTGAGGTCCTCCAGCCAACAACGAAAGTTAAAATTATCACTATAACTAATAATGGACGATGGAAATTTTGCCTATGATTTCCAAAATGTGCAATTCAATTAGCAGCATTAACACTGAAGCATTGTCTCTGAATAATGTAAAATATGAATGACATAAGTGGGATGGATATTTTTAATCATGGAAGATGATGAATTTTGGTTTCCAGCTATTTAACTTACAACAAATCCATCCCAGGATTTCAGTGCTTTTATCTGCTTTGATATCTTTTAAATAAAATTAAATTTCAAATTATTATCTTTCTACACATTCATATTATTGAATTACCCTCAATGTTATGTACAATTTTTACTGTTGGTTAGATATTTCAACTCAAATTTTCCATTGTGCTTCGCAGAGCCCTGGAAGAAAGATTCCCTGTAGTTGGAAATTTTGCGTGCACAACGATTATGAAGCAATGTGGTTTGTTTGTTTGTTTTAGATAGAAATAAGAGATATAATGAAATATGTTATGATTCATTTAGTTTTCTATTGTAATGTTAAGAATATTATTAAAAAGCCAATAAAGTATAGAAAGAGAGCATTTGGGACAAATACAATTACCAAGTTTTTAAATACTATACGTTATGCATGCATTTACATATCTAAATCTTATTTCTTAATGCCAACATTCATCACTGCAAAACCAAGAAGTGAGGTTTCCATTGTCAACACTAAAATAAACCATCTGAATGTACAAGTATGATTACAATGTATATCAAGCATTTAGATAACTTCAAAATATATTCTACTTTCTAAGAAGATAGAAATATCACTGTTATGGAATATGAAATGTTCAAATATATTGGTGGTCATTATTAACATAAAGTAAAATACAATGTTCTCAGTAAGCCAACTACACAAAATGCAAATATAAGATTACATAATTTTTCAAGTTTCATTTAAATAACTTTATTCTTCTTTAAAGAATACTGATGGAATTTGATATATGCTATAGCACTTAGCATACGTGCTATCAGTTATCTCTAAGCCAGTTCACTATTAATGCTTCTGGAGTTTTTAAATAAATTCAATACTTATACTGCTTATGTTATTTATGTTACAATACTTATATACTTATGTTATATAATCAGGGAAAATAGAAGATTATAAACGGCCAAGATTTATATTAATTATATTATAGTAAGTGAATGCATACCCCCACAGACATTGCCATCCGCACTTTCACACTGCCGATCATCACATTCACAGTTTTTTCCATAGACTCTGTTGTCTCCTGGAGGGAAACAAGTGCATTGCCCACATTCACATTTTCCTGTAAGAAAAAAAATATTTTTATGGGTAAAATTTCATTAAAATAAATTAAATGTTATAACAAACTTATTCTACACTCTACCTCTCAAAGACGTGTCACTCCGCATTATTAAGTATGCACATAAATTCTATTAGAAAAAACCACAAAGTTACCCTTTCTCCATGGCAACAAGAAGCAAAATATATTGCTTTTATGTCTTGATGGAAACAGCAATAATAATAGACAATCATTGGCATTGTATCTGCATCATACATCAGTTTTGCATAACAGAACTATGGCACATGTTTAACTGCATAATTAACCTCTGTAATTGATCTAAAATATTTAGCACAGATCTCAGAAACTCTGAAAGAAATTAAATTAGAATTAAATCATTTATGCACTAGACTTTCTAAGATGCTATCTTCTTCATTCATGTAGAATCATAACTCTTTAAATTCTCTCTTGGGCATTTGGAAAACAAACAAAATGAGATCTAGACCTCAGGACACAGAAGTAGAAAGCATAATCTCTGTCACAGCCTTCCATCAACCTCATCATAGGAAAACTCCACAGGGCTTAAGGAGTGAACAAACTCAGCAAAACTCTCAGTTCGGATAACGCTGATTTTCTAACTTCTAAGAATTTGACTGCATAGTTTTATATATATATATAATCTTTTTAAACATCATGTTACTATGAGAATGCACAAAATACAACACAAATCAAGGATAAATGGTCTTCAGAAAAGATAGCACGTACAAAGAAAAGGACCACGAGACATATGCATAACACATAGAACAGCCTGTTTCGCTGGATCTTGTTTAATCACAGCAGCAGTGTGGGCCTGAACACTATTGATCACAGAATCCAAATTTACAGTAGGAACACCTATCATTCTAAATCAAAAAGCCCTTCAAGCATAGCTCTTCATGATGAATCAGAAAAAATCAGGCTCTGTATTTTTCAGCACATGCTGAAATATTTTCTGCAAAGAGAAAATGGCTTAAGGAGAACCTTAGTGGAGCTTTCCAAAGTAAGTTTCATGACAATAAGACCTTTTACATCGACATTCAACCAGATCATTTTCAGCTTTTAACTCAAATTTGTTACAGTTGTTTTTCAACAAAATCGATCTAAATAAACCGGAGTTGGATGGACCTTGTCACTTATGGACCACATTTCCCACTTATTTTATTGCTGCTTGGCTCTGCAGCCTTTCATGCACCAGTGTTAATTGCACATTTCAATGGAAATTCTATGTGTCAGGACTCAATCTAGAATCATGCTTACGATCATCTTAAAGTGCAGTAAATTTTTAAAAGATGAGAAAGATTTAGCAGCAAATAACTCATGATAGCTTTATAATATGTATTATTTTTAAACTACATTGCATGGGCAATTGTGTGAAAAAATGTTAGTTGCAGAAAGAATCATAAAAGAAAGTTCATTCACCAAATCATGACAAGTTGTATTTAATAATCTTGACAACGTCTAAGATATGATTGGATGCAGAATCATTGATGTTATTTGCATGCCTTCTTTAATCCATAATTATTTAACAAGGAAAGCATTTGTAACTGGTATAAAATGAATCCTTAAAAAAAAAGAGAAGAGAGGAAGAGAAGAGAAGAGAAGAGAAGAGAAGAGAAGAGAAGAGAAGAGAAGAGAAGAGAAGAGAAGAGAAGAGAAGAGAAGAGAAGAGAAGAGAAGAGAAGAGAAGAGAAGAGAAGAGAAGAGAAGAGAAGAGAAGAGAAGAGAAGAGAAGAGAAGAGAAGAGAAGAGAAGAGAAGAGAAGAGAAGAGAAGAGAAGAGAAGAGAAGAGAAGAGAAGAAAAGAGAAGAGAAAAAAGAAAAGAAAAGAAAAGAAAAGAAAAGAAAAGAAAAGAAAAGAAAAGAAAAGAAAAGAAAAGAAAAGAAAAGAAAAGAAAAGAAAAGAAAAGAAAAGAAAAGAAAAGAAAAGAAAAGAAAAGAAAAGAAAAGAAAAGAAAAGAAAAGAAAAGAAAAGAAAAGAAAAGAAAAGAAACACTTTTAAAGACTTTTGATATGTTCACCTTGTTACATTTCGGGGATTTCACAGTTTCTTTCTATCCATCCATCCAAGACATACCAGTTCTTCACCACCACATCACCCAGTTTCCCAAAGCAGAGGCAATCACCCTTAGGCAAATAGGTACCCACTAGATGAACAGGACCTACCTGTTGTGGAAAATCTATGAAAATATACAAAAGAACCATCTTTAAAACTGGCAACCAGGCCAGCTAACAGTATAGTAAGGAGGATGCCTGAAGGACAACAAAATGCATTTGAACAATTTGCCTTGAAAAGAGGAGTCAGCAGAGATGGAAAATCCTCCAGAGGGATAAGCAAAGGAAGGCTCTGTAATGAGGCTCTCACATATTCTGTAATTAAGAAATGCCTCCTGGAATGTGTAAATTAATTAGCAAGAATGACTTGAGAGCCTGGTGTCAGAAATAGAAACAGTTCATCACAGTCCCTGCTGCAATTGATATTTATTTATTTTACTTCATGTGGAACAGTTCTATCAGGGAAAGACTGAGGAATATCCCATCTTCAAGCAGACAGGGTGGTTTTGCATTTAAGAAATGCAAGCTCAGCTTGGCTTTGCAAAATCAAGAAGAAAGGGGGCTTTGATCTTCTTATTCTTGTCATACTAGCTAATGAACGAAACACCAACATTCAAACAGCTCATGTTCCTTTATTTATGCCTGTTCCTCACGTTTGCTTTTGGCTAGATCCCCACTAAACCCAGTGTCTGCTTTACATTATCTGATCTAAATGCAAATGTGTCTTGAAAACAGACAGCAACTTTATTCAGTCAGTGCTCTGGAAAAGCATTTCTCTGAGCTGTTTCTTTTGAAATACTCAAAGATACATCCATAGCAGCTTAGTACACTGCTGAAGGTGACAGTCAGATTATTACTTCATCATTCCTTCTCTTTCTAAATGTGGCAAAATCAGCACTGGAAACATGAGATGGGGATTTAATGGTGGCAGTGAATAACTGTAACTTTGAAGTGACTTAAAAAAGCATATTTTACCTTTAAAAACGTGCAATTTTCATTAGGTTATATCAGGTGGGCTCACTCTGTGGAGGTAATTTCACAAAGGATAAAAATCTATTTTGCTTCTGAACAACTACCTACATAGGATGGAGTAAATATAAATTCCAAAGACTTTGTTTATCACCATATAGGTAAATGCAATAGTTATTAACATTCTGGAACAATACATTTCATTTTCTTCCCCAGGAAAAGTAAGATAAGGTGTTTGATTCAGAGTAAACCTGGTCCAATCATAGTGCTACTTCATCAAATGTGTTGCTATAGAATTAGCAAAAGCCACACCTTATTCTGTATCATTATTCTCTTAGTTACTATGATAAAACACTTACTATAGAAATTCAGTCGTTCAAAAGTAATTTGAAGCTCACATTATACTTGAAGAGGGATCAGCACTTCACTAAACATACCCTTTCTTTGTCTGGAATAATAGGTTTCCCATAGCAACCTGATTATAGAGGGAAAGCTACTGCCAAACACATCCTAAATTCTCTTTAAATTCCGAGGCATACAGAAACAATTAAACACATGAGGACCATAATATTTGGCATCTATTCAACTAGCAGAGCCAGAGCTATGCCTTAATAATAAAGAGACACAAGTTTACCTCCAACATCTAAGAGTGAGTGTTCTTCTCATTCAACAGAGGCTGTAAATATCATCATCTGATGACTTCAGAAGGACGGTTTCTGAGGGATGTTATGCTATTAGCATCAAAAAAGCTATGCTTATTACAATGCAGGATTCTAAAAATAGAATAATTATAAAAGACATTTATTTGTCCACAGTCTTCATATTTACTTGCACTCTTTTCTCCCATTGATGTCAGTAAAAGTATTAATTTATTACTTATAGGTGTTGTTGAAGACTGAAAAACAAACAAGCTCAGGGTTTTCTTTGTTTCTAAAGGGAATTTGACTGCCACGTCTCATTAAAACACTTAAGTGTGTTAGATAACTTACAGAGGGAATTTAAAAAAAATGGGCTGTGACTGCTTAGCTTTTGATTTTACTCACAATTTCTTATCATTATTTTTGTGTTTTGTTCTGTTGTTTTTTATTTGTCCATCATTTCTGAATGCATAGCTAAAGTAAATGGTGCCCAGACTTAAAGATTACATCTTCTGCCATGCAAATTGCTATGACCATTAGCTGCGTACATTCAAACCAATTGGCAGTTTCTTATATGGACTGAACAACAGTCTCTTTTGTACAGGTAATTTACACTTTAAAACACTGCGTTATAAGTATATAATTTGTGTAATGAAATACCTTTACCCTGTTATTTACAGCAAAAGTATCAGGAAGACAGAGCGAAAGCTTAGCTTTCAACATTTAAATATAATATATGAATATATATATAAAAAAAAATTCACTGTCCTTTCCTGCCCGTAACTATAAAATATAAATGATTTTTCTGTACGTTGTGCTAATTTTTAATCTCACTGAAAATAAGTTGTTTGGATTTTTTGTTCAGGTTGCTTTTTTTTTTTGTTTTTATAAGTGTAAGTAATACGGTATGAAACCACAACACTATCTTTCAGCCCAAGCTGAGATTGCAGTAAAAGCCAATCAGGTTCATCAGCACATGGGAAGGATGCTGTTTCACATCAGTGATAAACAGAAGGGAATGTGCTTTCAGGAAGAACTTTTCTGCCCTGTGGCTGTTCTAGGTTTAACGTCTGAAAACGTTTCCTATCAGAAATTGCAATTACTTTGCTATCAAGCAATCTCAGGCAATGAGAACATTCAGCAAAGCTTATGTGTCTTTCTGCTGCCAGAACTCACTTCATGCTGGATGGGAGCAGATCATCTGAAATAACGTTCAGAAATGGTAAACCAGTGATGGTAGATGAGGAGATTAGTACAAATTAATCCATGTTGAAAGATATGCTGGGTAGAGGAAAGCAGATTTGACTTTAGGAAGTAACACATAAGA